TATTGCATTTCAAAATCACGACTAAAAAACACAAGTACAACAACAAGCTTGAAACGCTACTCCGTCACCTATTGTTCTACAAGTAAAATGTTGTCAAATGTCTGCAGTGAAATCAAAGCAAGCCAGAACTACACACCTCGCCCACGTACAAACATTATACTAGTACGTATATGTTAAATGGGCGCACAACTACAGTACAAAATCATAAACAGTGTATTACTGTTACTGTTTGAATAAAAAAAATACACTACAAAATATCAATTGAAACATACAATTAGCAAAGCTATCACCCAAACGATTATACGACAATAGCGACAATGATTTTGAAAATTTGTTTGTTTAAATATATAACCACATAAAGATGACCAAATCTTACCAAAATATTGTTTTAAATAAAGTTGCATGGGCAACATGACCCTACACAAGGCTAATGAAGCATCAAATGCATTGTGAAAACGGTCCAGTTATAAGTGGACATTTTGTTGAAATAGGTCACATTATGGGGTCCGTGGAAAACTATGATGCACATTGCACACTATCATAGGAATTGACACGTAAAATCAGCAGTGGGAGACCTTCTGAGTGAGGCTAGTCTCTCAAGAAAGGAACACATTTGACATTTCGCCCAGGACCCTGTGGTTGATGTTTGCTTATAACAAAATTCAATTTCAATAGATGGCGCCCTCTGAAGACCTAGACACACCCCACTGCCATCTTTTTCTTTCACATGCAATTCATTTAATGTAAGACATCATTATATAGCATAAATGTTAAGCTTTCGGTTTCCACATTTCATTACAAACTGGCACTTATGATAAGGAAATGTTTTTATTAAAAATGAAAATCAGAGAAAAAAAAAGCTATTGTCGCTTTAACAACACCATGTCTGACATGGTCATTTTGGCAGGAGAATATAGACACAAATGCATATTAATAATACTGTATTTGTTCTATTAGAAGTGCATCTTCAATAGAATTGCATATAAACCAAAAACTGTATTATTTTGGTTGTATATTGAATCATTATTCAGACCTCTGTAATTATCATGGCCCATACGCTACTAATAAAGCAAATACGGTAATAACACATACAATAATTATTGCAAATTAGTTATACGAAAATTTTCAATAATTGTTTATTTTGATACTAGCTTTGCAGCACAAATAGTTTCACAAAAACATGTTGAATCCAAATTAAATCAGTAACCTCCGCTAAAACTTTGGAAATAAAATAATCCTGAAAACTGGAAGGCAACAATATTAAGTACACTATTTACTGTCAATTATTACATATTTGTTGCCAGAAATGCTATTTAAGTACATACATTATGAGCATATTAACAAACGTTGGTTTGACTCTCCTGTGTGAAAAAAACACGGTAGCATTTCATAATTATTAATTTAATCTACCCCCTCAAGTGGCAGCACTTTGGATTGTGTGGTTATCAATTCTCTATTTCCAAACATCCCTTGTGTATGGTTTTATGTGTATCATGTGTACAATACACGCAAGCTAACTTGCCATTACAGGGTAGAAAGGAGAGTATATACATATCAATAGTTCTCTCTAAGCATTATTTGTACATCAC